TTTTTCCAATGTTTTTTCGTAAAAAATAACATTGGTGGCGACTCCCTATTTTTAATTTATTTTCGTCGTCTCATCGCTATCTCGGTTGCGATAGTTTGCTTGCAGCTAAACCAACCCTTACACCTATGGTCAAGACTACTATACTAGCTCATGATGACAGCCCATCTTATGCAGATGCTATTGGATACAGAAAGCTAGTCGGGAGATTACTCTACCTTACCAATACCAGACCAGATATCAGCTTTGCTGTCCAACAACTCAGTCAATTCATGAGCAATCCAACTGAGCTGCACTACAAGGCTTGTATTCGTGTCCTCAGATACTTAAAGGGTTCTCCAGGACAAGGCATATTTTATCCCAACAATTCTACTTTACAACTAAAGGGATTTAGTGACTCAGATTGGGGCACATGCCCAAATTCTTGAAAATCTATCACAGGTTACTGCATCTACCTAGGGAATTCTTTAGTTTCATGGAAATCCAAGAAGCAACCTATAATTTCAAGATCCTCTTTCGAGGCTGAATATCGGACTTTAGGTGCTACTGTATGTGAATTACAATGGCTGACTTACCTATTAGATGATATTGGAGTTTCCCACATTCAACCAACACTTCTCTATTGTGATAGTGCATCAGCCAGACATATTGCAGCTAACACAGTATTTCATGAAAGAACCAAACATTTGGACATTGACTGCCATTTGGTTAGGGAGAAACTTCTTGCCAAACTTTTCCACCTTCTTCCTATTAATAGCAAAGAGCAACATGCTGACCTATTTACCAAGCCTCTTGATCCTACTCCTTTTTCTTTTCTTCTTTCCAAGCTAGGAGTTTTGAATATCTACTCTCCAGCTTGTTGAGGGAGGGGGGGTAATGGAGAATAAAATAACATCAGTTGTTAGTTAAGTTTTATTAGTTTCTGTTAGTTCTGTTTTGGGGTTTATTTTGACTGACCCTCATTGTATATAAGTGTGTAGAGGCTTGTAGAATAATATACATTCGAGACTAATAGAAGTGAATTATTCAGTAATTCTCTTTTCCTCTCTACTTTCTTCACTTTATATATGGCTCACATTAACAAGCACTTATTATCTGTTCCGGAATCATACTACCCATGTCTAGGAGAATGATGAAAAACTGTTTACACAATCATGATATTGTAAATGTGATAGAAGAAGAAAATGAGAGAAAAAAATATTAAAGAATATTTGTACACAAAAATTCATCTTAAGGTGGGCAAAAGAATTAAGTTTAAAAAAAAAAAAGTCACCATGCTTCAGAACCATAATTTGTACAATTGAGAAATGAGACCTTCTCGAGTCAAGGTAGTCGAGGCTTACAAGGACTCGGCTAGAGCCCAGAAGTTTTGGCAAGCTACATGATCATGTAAAGGATTAAAAATCAAAGATTATAATTTTCATTCATTAATCTATATGCAAAATCGTGATAATTCTAATTATACAAATATGGTAAAAAAATTATTAAAAAAAAAGTGCATGGTAAGAACTCCGTTTTTAAGGCTTCAATTTCATTTTCTTTCTACATTATTTTTTTAGTCCTTAATGTTTTTATAACTTGCAAAATTAGTCCGCCACTTTTTCTTTTTATTGATATCAATTGTATATTTATGTGATGTTCACCTAGGTAACATTCCTTATAAGCTAATTTTGTTAATATTTTGAATCGTTTCAATGGTTAGAACAGATATATAAAAAAAATGGACTAGAAAAATATATCAGTAGAATAAAATACAACATATAACATCTAATGAAAAAATTAAAGGATAAGAATTACTTCTAAATATTGTCAGATAAGAGATTATTAATAAAAGACCTGATAGAGTATCGACTTATTTTTTAAGAATACTTTAATAAATTTTAGGTTTAATTTTATTATAATTTACTCAAAGTCAAAGATAAATGTTAACATAATCTTTCTAAAATTGAAGCTGATTCATGCTAGTAATCTCTTCTAATATAAATTACTTTAAATGTCTTAATCTAATTGTATAGACTATAGAAGTACATATAATGGGCCAGTCCGATCAAACATGCAATACACCTCTTTTTTTTTTTTGGTAAGTACACTTCTTTTATATATTTTTTTAAAAATTATAAAATATTGTAGTTTTTTTTTTTAAATCTTCTATTTTTACATTTTTAATTTTCAATTTACTACTTTCTTCTTCTTTTTCACACACTTTTTTTTTTCTCTTTTAGTTTTTACATGTTACCAAAATAAGTAGGGTGAAGGAAAAATAAAGGAGTGCATGTAAAAATTGAAAAAAAGAGGAGAGATGTGTGAAAAAAAAATACTAAATTAAATATTTTAGATGTAAAATCAAAAAATTAAAAATTAAAAATTAAAAAATTAAAAATTAAAAAATTAAAAATTAAAAAATTAAAAAAATTTAAAATTTTAACTTTTTTTCTAAAAAAGGAGGTGTAGTTATAAAAAAAAGGAAGTGTATATGTCATGAAGCAACATGCAATTCACATAAGACCAAACCGAGTCAATAAACCGGTAGTGGAAACTGTATGACATATGAATTGGGCTAGCTTACGTTTGCCCCACTGAGATATTTATATAGTCACCGTAACTTTGAGAGAGTTTTCTTTAAGTTATCAACTTTTATTTCTCAAAATAACATTCTTAAAAGTTTAATGATTGAATTGACATGAGGTACTAAAAAAAGGTTAAATATTTAATTTGATCTCTCATAATAATTAAAAAATTTAATTTGGTCTCATTTTATTTTTTGATTTCAATTTAATTCTCAATAATTTAAAAATACATCAATGTGAGACTTCTATCCAAATTTCACGAACAGTGTTAAATGTGGACGACGTGGATGTCACGTAAATGTATAGGTGACAAAGTTTTCTTCTTCTTCTGTAATGGTCTCATACGTCATGTGTTAATTTTACATCTAGAATGATCCGTTCTCAAACAGAACGACCCAACCAGAACGACCCGTTCTGCTTGCACTCATTGTGTGTTAATTGTGCATATAGAACGGCCCGTTCTAGATGGTTTAAGAACAGGGCGTTTCAGATGTAAAATTAACACACAACGAGTGCAAGCAGAACGAGCCGTTCTGGTTTCAGAATGGACCGTTTCAGATGCATCTGTTTATGGAATTTGGACAAAAGTCTCACATTAATGTATTTTTAAATTATTGAGGACTAAATTAAAACAAAAAATAAAGTAGGACCAAATTAAAATTTTTAATTATGATGAAAAACTAAATTAGGCATTTAGCAAAAAAAAAAAAATGTTAGGTTGTTAATGGTGAGAATCTTATGTTGAAAGTGGGGTGTAGGAAAGTTAGAAAAATAATTACATATATAATGTTATTCATACCAATTAAAACATACAAAAGTTATTTTTTTCTTAGAAATATCCAATACTTGGAATAAAATTCTTAGTCTTATAACAAATATTAGAAAATACATTTATATATATATATATATATATATTCATAAGAATATGATAAGATAACTTGAAAAAATAAATAATAACAATGACTTTGAAACAAACAAGTCCTGTTGAATCATGAAAAGGAACATAATCCAAGGATTGGAGACATTTTAGATAAGAACAAAAGGAAAAGTTTTAATTATATGCTGGCGGATACCTCTGAATCCGTTTTTAAAGTTGAGGTTGTTCTAGAAGTACAAGATAAATTTCCGCAACAAAAAAGAACATGACGTGGTTGATTGGTTTTAGTTGTAGAATATAAAAGATAAAAGATATACCCGGTCAACAGGTCAACTCCTTCTCTGCGATCCTGCAAGCCAAGGATCCATGTTTCATGTAATATTTTTCAAAATACATTTTTAGTTCTATCACTTCCTTTACATTTTTAATCCTTATAATTTAATATATTTTTTATTTTACTTTTTATAGTTTAAAATAATTTTTTTATTTATACCTATTTTTAATCTACTTTTTAATATTATTTTCTTTTTATATTGATGTTATAAATATATTAATTTAACTTTATATATTTAATATCAAATTTATTATATTAGAGCTGTTATAAATTAAGTCTCTCGACCTTATTCTTCTTATTCCTTGTATTTTCAACTATGATACTTATTATTGGGATATTTTTTTTATTTTCACAATATTGAAAACTTCTTTTACACAACATTAAAAACAAATTAACGACAAAAATTAAAAAACCTAAAATAACTATAGTATAATTATATAAGAATTAAAAATATTATCTTAAATTATAAGAGTTAAAATAATTAAAAAATAAATATAGACTAAAAATATTTATTTTAAAATAAAAATTAATAGATAAAGTAAGTAAAATTTTAGTAACTAAAAAAAACTATTTTAACAATGTTTTTTATCATTCCAAAATTAATTTAACTGCAACTTGCAGAGTAAAAGTTTAGATATCTAGCAAATTACTAGTATATAAATTTTAAAATGTCTTGGCCGGCTGATTACTTCCACAATAAGTTAATTTTGCTGCAAAAGAATGTTTTAAAACAAAAGTGAAGGATAATCATTACTAGAAGCGCCTCCATTGAAAAATAAAATAAGTTGAACAATAACAAATATTAGAATATACCGTTAACTTGTTGTGTACACATTTTTCTTATTCTATCTTTAAAAAAATACATAAAATGATAAAATATTCAAATATGATTGAAAGTACAAATGTTTGACAAAATATGCACACTAAAAACACTAAAAAGTAAACATTCATCTTAGATTTTGTTATAAATTATAAATATTATTTACAATTATATTACTAATTTGCACAAGTAATTCATATATTAGAGTTCAAATTAAAAGGAGATATTTATTTATTTAATACCTAGCAAATTCTTGCGACAAATTGTCTCAAGGCAAAATATTCATCGATAATAAAAAAATAGCAGAAACGACAGACGCAAAAGAAACAGAAGAATTGGCATGATTTTCACAAAATTTGGTGGAGTTGTTAATCCAAATTATAGTAGGAAATTGTTAATCCAAAATGAAGAGATGGAATTTTCAACCAAGTTGGCATTACGGTAGTAGGTACAAATTTTTTCATGATTCACTTCTAGTCTGCCTAAACAGTTCACATGAATAACATCAGAAAATCACTCTAAACCCCTAAGAAACAGTACACAATACAAGTCACAAACCCCTCAGAAAATGCCAAATAGACTAGATTCTGTAGGACAAGATTTATGAGCCATCACATACACAAAACAAAAAAACAGAACTGGATGAATTGGTACTACAATCCGAATCCGAATCCGAATCCGAAGCAACAAGAGTTGCAGAGAGAAAATCAGACTGATGCATAGAGATTGGGAACAAAAGAAAACCACTTGAAACCACAGCTACATTTGAGAGGCAAAGAGGGGCACCTAGGAAGCCAATGCCAAGTCCTCCGAGAGACCAAATAATACAAAATCTCAGGCCACGTGTAGCAGCAAATGCAGATCATCCCTTCATGCCAAAAGCAATAAACATGCTCATAGTTATGATAACACACCGACACAAACTTTCTACACATAAGATCAGGCAAACTCTGCATCTCCACCCAATTCTCATTCCCACTCCCATACTCCCACACCTTAATGCTCCTCGAGATGCCATTGCTCCCAACCCCACCCACCAAATACAATTTCCCCTCCCCCTCCCCCTCCCCGTCACTCACCAATTTTACAAAAGTGAGTTGACTCGGCAACCCCGCGTCAAGCCTCTCCCACTCGCCACTCTCCAAACCGAACACCACCACCGAGAAGGGTTCCGGCGTGGCGAAATACAAACCCCCACGGAACAAAACCCCTTGCTGGGGATCCAGAAGCGGTCCGAAAGCGCGGAACCGGTTCCAAGCCGGCGCATTGGAGCGGTAGAGGAAGACGGAGTTGGAAGCGGGGTCGGAGGAGAAGAGGAATATGATGTAGCGAGATGGGGTTGCGACGAAGGTTAGATGGTTGAATTGAAGGGGGTAAGTGGGGTAGGGGATGTTTCTAGAAGCTTTGGCGAAGAGGTTGCAGACGTGGAAGGAGCAGGAGGCGGTGTCGGCGAGGCAGAAGAGGGCGCGGGAGGAGGCGAGGGTGGTGAAGGAGGGGAAGGAGTGGGAGGGGAGGGAGACGTTGCGCCAGGTGGCGAGCGTGCAGTCGTAGAGAGGGAAGTGGCGGTGGAATTGAGGGTGGGAGAGTAGGAGGAAGGAGGAGAAGGAGGAGGAGGAGGAGGAGTGTTTGGAGATGAATTTTGGGGAGAAGAGGAGGGAGCAGAAGCCCTTGCAAGTGGATCTCAGACTCAAGAAGGTTTTCAGAGGGAGGAACGACAGGATGTACTCCAGGATTTCTGGGGGCAGTTTGCTCCAGATTCTCGGATCCATTGGAGGGGAATCAGAATACCAACTCCTCGTCTTCGTCTTTACCAGGTTCATCTTCACTGTCATCTTCTTCTTCATCGGGGAATTGGAATTGCAAGTGTTTGCACCGTTTGTTTCTTTGTTTGCCCACAGAAAGTCACTACGGAACTAATGTGGGAAAGAGAAAACCATTGACTTACTGCCTGCCTTTGCTAAAATGGAATACTACCTAACTCTATCAAACAAACAAATCGCACACGCTTATCACTTGCTCCTCATTTTTGGATAACAAAACCACTATCTGATTCACTAAAACCCTTCATAAATATAGATTTTCAGCCTTTCATTTACTATGGCCTCGTAGATGAAACAAATATCACAAGATAAATGTTCTTTTTATTTAATAAATTATGAAAGAATTTTTTTTAGTTTATACAAAAATATTAATTATTATGGTGTTCTCCTGATATTATCTCAACATTTACCATTATCTTGTTCTTATTATTTTGGTTGTCGTCTTAGTCTTCATCACTATTCTCATTATTATTAATATTTTTGTTGACATTTTAATTATCATTACCATTAATTTTAATAAAATAATAATAAATTATTAATATATTTAATATTCTTAAAAGTATAGATTAAAGTGCTCTCTGAAAATTGTGAATATAATGTGATAATGTGATAATGTAAATATGATGATGAGATGTGATGATAATAATGTGATATGAGAATGCATAAAGTCTTGATTCACATGCATCATGTGCATAAATATTTTTAAGGGTACGATATGGAATACACCACTAGAGAAGGCCCCCTAGTGTAAAAGTTTTAAATTAGTCCTTGAGGATAGCTCAGTTTGGAAGTCCTTGTGACACCCTTACTACCCCAACATATATATAAATATAATCATATAAATAAACTAGAGAATAAAATTTTTAAGTAAAAGGGTTCACATAAGCCTTCATATTCATTTATCAATAACCAACATAATAATTGAAAATAAAACTTGAAAGTTTACAAATTGTTTCCAAAATCATATTTACAATTCCAAATCCATATAAAATCTATGTCCTAAAAATCCTCTGCCCCGATGTCACAATATCAGAGCATACTCACAATTCAACTGTTGGCATTCTAGATGTCACTCGTAACCGGATCTTCCTCGCCTAAAACATCCACAATTTATACGGTGAGAAAAGAAAATATCTACATGCAAAGTACATACAACCACATCATAATGAAATCATAATTCATATATATACAAGCATGTATCATAATTTATCAATCCATCACAATCCACACAATTTTACGATTAACAATATCATTTCCACATCCATAATTCAAGCCAATCTTACAATTAACACTATGCCAAGACCTCGCCACATCTAACACAAGTGATACGGGTTAATTGTCTCACTCAACCCACACCATACTAGGGTTCGTATCATCTTTGATCATCCAGGAGTACGCTCGTCCCTGAAGCATCACCTACCCAGGGTTCGTATCATCCCTGATCATTCAGGAGTACGCTCGTCCCTGAAGCATGAGTGTGAGGAACCACAATCACATTACAATCCATACAGTCTCTTGCAATTAACCCTATGCCAGGGCTTCCATAATCGACATAAGTGGTGTGTGTTAACTGTCTTACTCATCCCACACCATGCTAGGGTCACGCCCTCCCTGTAGCACCACTTACCCAGGGGCCGTGCCATCCCTAGTCATTAGTGTGAGGAAACACATCGCAATCACATTCTTAATCATGTCCATACAACATCTCATCTCATATCACGATTTCATATCACATACACAATTCCATATCACATACTCAACAAAATAAGGGTTTACACATCCCTCCAGCAATTCACATCTAGATCATCAATTCTTATTAAATAATATAATAATAACATTCGTAAATTAATATAATAAACAATAGAATTATCAATTTAATATAATTTTAACATAAATAGTAAAATCCCCAATTGTCCCAAAACCTAGCTCATAAGCACTTTTCTACAATTTCGTTCTCTTTCCCAGATCATCATTTTTACAAATTATTAACATATTTATAATCCTCAACACATACAGAATCTAATGAGATCCTCAATTCCTCAAACAGAAATCATCCAATTTTCACAACTTAACTTACAGACACTTTTCTATAATTTCGTTCTCTCTCCCAGAACATCATTTTTACAAATTAAACATATATTCGTAGTCCTAAATATATATAGAATCACATAAGACAATTAATTCTCCAAACATAAATAATTATAAAATTATTCATAACCCTAAGGGCTCTTCCTCTACCCAATTCCCTCATGTAACCCTACATATAAATAATCATCTTTTCTCTCGTACATGGATAAATAGGAACTAGGGCATAACCTCTTCCTTTCTTTCCTTAAACAAGGACCGGGACTAAAATTGGGACAGAACCTCATCCTCTAAGTTCCTCTTGGTCTTCAGAGAGAAAAAAAAATTGAAAATTATTTGATATTTCTTTTTATTAATTCAAATTAACATATAAAATGATTTTATGATTATTCGTCAATTTGAATTAATGAAATGAAGTATTGAATGGTTTTCAAATTTTTAAAAAATTTCCAAATTAATTTATGTATTTAGAACTTAAAATCCAACAATTAAATTATTAAAATTTGATATGAAACATGAGTTATTAAACTGAGTAATTTTAGATAAACTTACTTCTAAAATAAATAGATTCTAGATATAAGTGATATTGGACTCAAATCTTTTAAATAATACCTCATATTTAAGTCATATATATAAGTTATTGATTTAAATAATATTAAATTTAGTCCTTTTAAATAATATCTTTTGTTCAAATTATGTATATAAAAAATGGTTAAAAGTGAAAACAACATTGAAATTGGCCGGTCAAAGTTTTGGATCACGAGAAAGTGGATTAATCCTGCTTACTATTGTATTTATTGGTGTAGTTTTTGCGATGAAATTTTTTAGATCTTTCTGAATCACATTCGGAAAATTATTTCAAATCATTAAAAAAAAAATTTAAACTATAAAATATTAATCAAATAATTGTTTTATAATAAATTTATTAAAAAAAATATGAATATTTTAATATTTCAAAGAGTGTTTCATATGTTTTTTTAGGAGAATATATCAATCCTCTTTTGCAATTCCTTGAACTTGAATGTGTGGACGACAACAGGTATTGTCCATCATCAGCTGTCATTGTTTTATGGTCATAAGTAGTGTCACCAATTTCTGCAATGCAATGCAAGTGCTATAATAGTCACATTCCATGTTTTCCTACCCTATTTCCCTAGCTAGAGACGCGTTATTTTAACATGCACCACACTCATCATGCTTTGTTTGGCTTAGTGAAAAAACAAAAATTAATGCTTGAGTTGTTATTATTATTATTATTATTATTATTATTATTATTGTTATTATTATTATTATTATTATTATTATTATTATTGTTATTAACTTATTATTATTATTATTATTATTATTGTTATTATTATTATTATTGTTATTGTTGTTATTATTATTATTATTATTATTGTTATTATTATTATTATTATTTTTATAAATTAAATTTTAACATTTAAATAAATTATTAATTAACTTAATATATTTATTCATCTTAAAAGGGAGGCGCGTGTGAGGAAGAATGACTAAGGGAGAGCGTTGCATTTTTTAAATAGTTATAGTACTTTTAAGATCGGTTAAAATTTAACTGATTTTAAAAGTAATTTTAAGATCGGTTAAAATTTAACCGATCTTAAAAGTGCTTACATTATTTACAAAATTATCACCGCGTCACTTTTAAGATCGGTCACCTTTTAACCTATCTTAAAACCCCGATTTTAAAACTAATTTTTGCACTAGTGATATAATACAAATAATTAAGGACATCATTAGAATGTAGTAAATTTAAACATTGATTACCTTAGACACATGGGCCTTAGTTAGTCTGCTTGGCCATAGGATAAAGTTACCTAGGGCTCGTCCCACTATTTAAACCTCTATAGTGGGCACATGGACTCGAGCATCATGCTCTTTGATGTCGACAACCTCCACCCATAACATATCATTTACAATTGCCTAATGGTGGATGGTTGACCTCAACATGTACACCTTACGTATGGCTACCAACTTCTCTAGCATACCATCAATGTATAATTGTACCTCCGTTGGTGTCGCATCAACTACATCCTTTTTTGATGCATCGGGGGTGACACAACTCCCCTACATACCAATAGCAGACAAAGGAGGAGGAAGAGAAAGATAAGGAGAATAAGGATAAGGTTGTTGTGTCGTGGGAAAATTGGACGCAAGATCTACCTTGAGGTCTACAATAAGTTGTGCCTTCATGTCTTCAAACATGTTTTGTTGAATCTCAACTTAAGGCATGCCTAGTAATTATCACTAAGTTATGATCTATAGACATGCCTAGCTATAGGAGCTCTAAAGAATGGAAAATGCCTCTACCTCATCCAGTTGTATGCACACAACCTTAATGCTATTGAGTGCCAAGTGCAATCATTAATATGTCATCACACCCTTCCTTAATAAAGGTCTCATGTGTGACCTGCTATTCTAAGTTGCCCTACAACACAATAATTTAATAAATTTGTTAGTAATTGATGATCAAGAATCCATCCCACATATGAAAAATAAGATACTTACAATCCTCCTTACCACTTCTCGAGTGACATTATTTCTATATTCCCCTAATTTCCTTTATCGAGCTACTATCCATTTGGCATGATTGTTAGGTCGACTGTATTGGCTAGCCCCTAATCAAAGACCAAAAAAAGTAGCAACCTTTTTCATCATGTCATCCTCAAGCTTGTCATATCCCCACAAGACATGAAGTACCCAAATATGCACCCAAACAATAACACCCCAAAACAAGAAAATAAACCAGCACCCAACAACACCCCAACCAACTTGTGAAATTTACAAACACTTGGCAACAACACCAACAATTCTAGCAACATCTCAACAACACTTGGAAGCACAACAAAAATCATACACAAAAAAATTAAAAAAACAAAACAACATCTCAATAACACTTGGCAATATAGAGTTCTCAATCAAACAACATCAATGCACAAAAAAGAGAAGAGAATGAACCTTAGAGCAAGTGTGAAAGAGAACTGTAGAACCTCGTCGAATTGAAGAACTTAAAAGAAAAAACCAACATTTCATAAAAACCAACAAACCAATGTTGCATAAAAAATTAAAATTGAACGACACGAGACGAGACGAGACAAAGTGTTATGGTGACGAAGTGCCA